ATATATATATATATATATATATATATATATATATATATATATATATCAAAATTAAGTTATATTAATTAAGTTATATTTTTTATATATTATTATAACTTATTATATTTTATTATTATATAGATTATATAACTATATTTTATATAATCTATATCAAAAAATAATAAATTTAAATATATAGTTATAATTTTATAATCTTATATAATTTATTATATCAAAATTAAAAGAAATGTTATAAAAAAATATCTTACACAATTTTTCTTAAATCATAGAATATTATATAATTTATATTATGTAATTTTTTTTATTCTATTATCCAATAATTATTAGATAATATTATTCAATAATATAATACAAAAGATAAATGATAGTTTATAAATCTAAGATACTGATAATATATGCATATTATATGCATATTATCATGGTAGCATAGTTTTTCAAAAACTTTATTAATATATACATATTTAGAGATAAATAAATAATATTTTAATTTCAATGAAAATATAATAATATATTTTATTAGAAAATTGACAATTTATTAATATATTTTGTATTATGTATGTCTTGTATCACATGAAGGCATTGTTTTATGTGTTTCTAATTTTATAATAATGTCTTGAATCCATGACATATGATTAGAAACTCGAGTAAATAAAGAATAAGAATAGCTATCACAAATCCTACTTCCTCCCACTATTTTTGTACCAATGCTAAGACTAACAATACCTTTTAAATACCATTGATCATGTTTTTCAAAGATTAATCCGCCACCGCTATCACCATCACAAACAGAAGAACCTACAATTTAATATTAAATATTGTTTTATATATTTTAATAAAAATTAATAAATATAATTTTATTATATATATATATATATTTATATAATTAATATAATAAAATATAATTTTATTTTATATATATATATATTTATATAATTAATAATTAATATATAATATATATAAATATAATTAATTCTAAAAAAAATTGTTTCTAACCATTTGCATAACCTGCACAAAATTTATCATATGTAATATATTTTTTTGAATTGTTAGTACTTGATGACATGCATTGATTACGAGGAACATATGGCAATCTAATTGTCTGTAAAATTTGACTAGATGGACTTAAAGCAGTTCTTCCAAATCCTGCAACTTTTCCTAAAATTCCTGTTTCTAATGAAATCTCATCATCCAAAATATCTAAACATATAGGAACTAAGAAAGATGAAAATATAAATGGTTCTGTTATTTCCAATATAACTATGTCTTCAGCATAATTTCCATCAAATCCAAAATAAGTACAAACATTGTATATATTTTTCACCTAAAATATATATATATATATATATAGATATAAGAACTGAAATATAGATATAAGAAGTTAAAATATTAAATATAAATACCTTTGCTTTTTTTACTATTCTCATGTCATGAAAAGGATAATCATATTCTCTAAAAATATTGCCTGTAATTATATCATACATTGAAGCATCATAAAATTGTTTATTATCATCATCATAAACACAATGTGCTGCTGTAATTAGAAGACTTTCATGTATAATAGTTGCACCGCATATAAATTCTTTTGATGCAGTAGAATTCTTTGTTACATAGAGTGAAGCATGCCATGGAAATTCAGTAATTTGTGGTTGAGTTCCATGTACAATAAGTGTTTTAGATGGTGGAGTTAAAATACCACATGCTAAAACATACTTTCAAATTATTATATTATTAAAAATAATTAATTATTATTATTATTATTATATAAATTACAGTAACAAATAATATTCAAGATATTAACAAATTTTTAATTTTATTGTAATATAATACGTAATATATATTTTATTATATATATATAAAATTTATTTAATTTATATATATATTAAAAAATGAATAATTTATATATATATATATATATATATATATATATATATAA